GGACTGGCGAAAATATGTGTGACCAGGCTTTTTACACTGGCGAAAAATAGTGAATCTTTAACTTCCGTTTTAAAAAATCCTTTAAAAAGCGGTCTAATAGAAAAGAAAAGTCTTACATTTTTAAAACCCCTATTGGTTATGTTCTTCCAGGATTACATAGTTTGAATATGGGGAATTTTTTAGTTCCTTTTTTTTAAGAATAAAGATTACACTTCCGGTTTGTCGCGGTGCAAAGAGCTTGCCAAAATGGAGTGCCTGGCATGCCGGCACATTGGCTCCTGGGCAGTTGTAAAAACGGCCAGTCAAGTGCATAATTACTTAATTTCCTCCTCGCAATATTTCGGCCACACATGGCCAACGGAGGCTTCTGGCCAATTCCAGATAGGCAGCTCAGCCCGGCCACCTTTCAGCCTTTTCATTCGGCTAATTTTGAGTCCGGCTACCGGGGGAATTTCTCGGCTCAATAGAAAACGTGTTTGTCTTTTTAGTGTCGCATTTGATGCTCCACACAATCTCGTAGATTTCCCCAAACGGAGCCACTCGGCTGGCGGAAAACTGTAAATTTGCACAATGACAGGCCTTGAGAGGCATTGGAAAAGGGGACCCTGCACGTAGTAGCCTCACCTCTCAAGCGCTCCACAATAACACAAAAATTGACAGACAAAAGCCAACGGCTTGAGCAACAACTCTCGGACACAAGGACCGCAACAAACAGGATGGGTTGGGAATGGGATTGGGATTGGGGCGATATGGTATGGGATGGTAAAACACAACCGGGCAACGGGGACTCGGACTGGCGACCCAGAACCGTTTCCGACTTCTCCGGGGGGCAACCCAAAATGTCAAAGCCAAGACCTGTTTCGCATAGAGGGCCACGTGTCCCGGTCTCGGCTTCACACTTGTCCCTCCTCGCAAGTTAGATCCTTTGTGCTGTCAAATCGTTTCAGATACAGTGGAGATTCCTTCAAGACAGGTTCAATATCTTTAGGTCTTAAAATAAATATATACAATTTTTATTTTTCAAAAAGTTACGAGAATTTTGTTTCACGTTAGCAAAGAACAGATACTTATAATCCGTCTTAGCAAAGCTCGACTGTATTAGATAAGGGCTAAAGAAGGCCAAGACCTGGCCGAAGGTTTGTCTCGGCCTGGCCTACACCTGTTGCCAATTGTTGTCTACTGTTGGCCAGGCAGCCCGGCAGTCCGGCACTTTATGTTTATGTTTATGTTTATGTTTATGTTTATGGCCCTGGCCGACACGACAACCTCTGTGGGCTTCCGCCTAGCTGAAGATGTAGTGTCCACAGGATTTTGTGCATTTTGTTTACCTTTTTGCCGTTGTAACTTTTTATTTGTTTTAAATAAATTTTACACGGAAGCTTTTATGTAAATTTTATGGTAATTTGCCTGGCAGATTTGCCCGACGCTGGTTGCATAAGTTCTTGGGGCGCCGAAGTTGTTGCTCTGTAAATAGCCAGTTGAGTGGCTTGTCTACTCAGCACTCGAAGCTCTTGAAGGCCACAAAGCAGATTTAAGTGTAACACTTTTTATACCGATTGTCTTTTTTATTTTGATTTCTCCCGGTGCGCTGGAGATGCTGATTCATGGGGGAAGAATGGCCTGAGAATTACATGACCAGAAGTTTCTTTCAATCTTCGTCAAGCGATCTCTCGACTTTCGCCCATTAACAACAATTCTACCGGTTTAAGAGATTTGTCTACAGAACAAAAAAAATTGGTACAATTTAGCATTACATCGGATGATTTGAGAGCGTTTACGCCTTAAACTTACTACATTACTATTTAAACCTTTCAATATTAAAATATTTAAAATTCAATGAAATCAAATTGCCATGTGCACTGGAAAAAAAATATTAAAATAGTACTGTTTTTTAAATTTTCCATTAGGAATACTCCAAAATGATCAAATCTCAAAAAATGTTATACAACATTTTTCTATTTTATTAAAGCGTAGAATAAAAAACACTTTTCCTCAGTGTACACCTGTTGGCGTGTGTGTTTGATGATAATGGCTTCATCTAATCGATTATATCATTGGGGGAATCGCGTGCCTTTTAGAGTTCGAGTTGAAGTTGAATTGTTGCCTAATTCAAGCGTTTTGCTTATTTGTCTTACTGTTTTTTTTGTTTGCTTAGTCTTGTTGCTATTTTTTTGTTTGCTTGCCTTTTTGTACGCCTCGTTTGATTCTAATTGAAATTGCATCATGAGGCAGGCAAATTACGTTTTTACCTTGGGGCAGAGAAAGCCATTTCTTTTTGGGCAATTGAAGAATGTGCGAAATTCGACACATCGGGTAAATATTCTATTCTCGATTGATTTCACAAACCTCTGCTAATTATAGAGCCAGCTATGATATCACACTTTTCGATATTGGGTCAATGTCTTAAAAAATCACACAATGCATTTTATGGTCTTACTTAATTGGCTGGCTTCTATTGTAAGTTCCTGCTTTTAAATTTCGACGAGGAGGAGATTCCAATTCATTTGCATAAAGCAAACAAAATATGCAAATTCCTTGGGCCGGGGACCCAGAAAAATAAAAGAACCTGACCACTTGACTGGCACAAATCATGTTTACACATGAGCAGCGGCCACTTCAGGGCTCGTCCCCATTTGGCCGAGTAACCCAAAAAGTATCTCAGCCCCCATCGTGCTTATTGGCAGATAATTGACACATAAAATTAGCATAATTTCTGAGCAAGTGAACTGGGCAGATAGCCATCGGAATGCATAATGACCGGCAAACGATATCATTTCACTTTTCTTACGCTCTTTTTTTTGGGACTCCAATTCCTCTTCGCTCTGTGGCGTGTGCAAATATTATTAATATGTATATTTGTCGCCGGGCTAATGTATGGAATTTAAATTAACAAATTTTCACAGCATTTTTGGGTCTTGTCACAGAGATTCCTATCTATGCAGATGCTTGGATCCGACCGAAAGCTGTAGAAAGTGTGATTATAGTCTAGTTTGGGGTTGCTTCGTTCTGCTTTTTTGCGGGATAAGCTGACAAATTTTTGGCGCTAATACATAAAAAAAACGCACATTTACCTTCCTAAACAGCATTGTTAGTTTAGTTGGAAATAAAAAAAAAATAAAAACTTTAATTATTTCTAAATGATTTAAAAATATATTTTATAAATTTTTTCCCTCCAAATCTGCTTGGCCAAATAAGTAATAATTTCGTTGATCGTTGTCGGCAAGCTTTTCATCCATTTTTCCTTGACTTTGATGCATTGAATTGTCGGATTTCGGCCACGCCCACACATAAATCGCCGGGCAAAGAGTTGTCAACATTCGGCGCTGTCACTGTTGTCCTGCGACAAACAATTTAATTTATGAGATTCGCTGCTAAACTAAAGCAGAATTCCAAGCAAATTGACAAAGTGAGCATTAAAGGCCGAACAGGAATGGAAGTGGAAATGGAAAGGGCAAGAAGCACGGACAAGAAGTCAAGTTGAAATGCAGAAGGAAAACGTCCTTCGATTGAAGTGTAATGCAAGTGTGTGAGCTTTCCTTCTCGCTTTTTTTCCCTTATCTCTCCTTACATTTGACACTTGAGTGCGCTTTGCCTGCTATTTCTGTTGTTGTTGATGTTGGGCAGTTTGCGCAACGAATCAAATTTAAATTTCTTGATTGTCTGCTCGAGTGGCAGGCCAAAGGCAGTAACTACTGCGAGTGGAACTGGAGTGAGAGATCCTTTTGCGATTTTGCGCATAATAATAATTTGAACAACGTGCCTGGAATTGATGACTGGTCAGCAATGGTTGCTACAGTTCTTATTCCTTTAATGCACAAAGAAAAAACTGTTAAAAATATATTTGAAGCTATCTTTAATTCGATTTAAAAGGCCTTGCAGGTTATTTTGAAAAATAGTTCTGTAAACGTTGCTTAAAGGCATTTTACGCAAATATTTGAAAACTTTAAAACTGTTTTTAGCAAGAAGAAATTAATAGATACATTTTAAAAATTGGAATCCCTAACTATGTGTGTAGAATATTATATAAATCTTTTTATTAAATATTTCAACAACTATTGTTTTGTTTTTTTTTTTTTTTAATTTTAGTATTCACAGAAACCTAAATTCTTAAAGGTTTTAAACTAGTTTTTCCAAATCCTATGCTTGCCTAAGAGTTTTTTTTTATTTTTTATCAAGTATTGTGTGGTATTTTTCCGCCGTGTAGGGAGAAGTGTCGCACTGGGCCTGAGTGACTGATGGACTTGCTCACTGACATGGCTCAGACGGGAGGAGGACCGATCCCCCGGCTCCCCTAAGCTCGTTATCTTTTCCACATTTTTTAGCAGGCTAGCTCCTCGATTTTTTTCAGTTTTCGCTGTCAACGCGTTCGGCGGCAATCTATGGGCTGTTAAATGGAGCAAAAAGTGTTGCCCGAACAATGGTGTCAATTAAACTTTACATTGTTACATTTAAGGCGACTGCAGGGGAAATGGCTAAACGACCTTCAGTTTTGAATGCGTGTGCTGAAATTTCGCCCCAAAAAACCCCCTAGCTCTTGAGTGTTTGCCATTTTCTGAGGTTTCGCATCCGTCCCTTTTTGAGGTGGTTGGTCATTTGGTTTGATGAAGGTTTTAGGACCACATAAAAATAGATTAATGCCAGCCGAAAAAGAGGTTCCCACTCGGAGTTCACAGAACAACCATTTGTCTGGTTTATTTTCGGTTTTGAGTGGGAAATCAAATGAAATAAAATTGTCGGCCCTTGAACCCGCAAAACAATGCCAAATTAATTTCAATTTATGGTTTTGTATTTTATTTATTTAATTGATTATATTTATGCATATTTTTGTACTTTATTGATCATAACTTTGTCATCGCTTGACTTATGGTTCAGGTTTAAATCAAGTTTATTAGCAGTTGTGGAGGCAAAAAAATGGTTTGTTATATATTTTACAGGTATTTTATGGATTGTCAAGGCAGCATTCGGTACATGGACCTGCGTTTTTTTTTATCGGCACTCACCACTTTCTTTATGAAATTTTTCTGGACCCTTTCTGTGGGTTTAATTTTGTCGATTAGCACTTTGTTTGTGGGCACTTGAATTTTCGTGTGACACTTGTTTCACTTTTGTTTCTTAATCCTGCCGCCAGGATAAGATCTGTTGTAAGGGGGCGCTGCTTAAGTCGGCGCACGCGTAACCGAATCGGGAGAGTTTTTGCTGCAATGGTCAGTGGAGCCGGGTTCTTTTATACCCTCGTTCTGAATTTCTTCTGCCGCCGTCGCTAATGAACTTCATTATGAGGTTCCACTGCCGCTGGCGGCTGCGCTGCCAGATTCTGGGCCCGGCAGAATTCGCGATCTTTTTGCTGTAATGAAAGCCAAGCTTCGACGTCGACGTCGCAGTCCGCGTTTGCGGCATAAATTGTAAGCGGTTCGCTTCATTTTAACCCATTGAAAACAGCTCTGAAATATCTGAATGGAGACAGTATATTAACACCCTATGTTGTATAACAATTTGAAAATAAATAATAATAATCAATTTTGCTCATATCATCAAGATAAAGCTTGGATATTTTTTGAGAACCTTGAGTAGGATGTCTTCTAAAAATCCATTACATTTTTCAAAAATGGTAAGTTATAGGAACACTTTTATTATTTAATATATTTACATTAGCTATTTAAAAAATACAGCTATTTTGTGTTTTTATATGAGTAGGGTTCTAAAAAGACCTTTCTTAAACTTTAGCCAGTTGTAATTGTTTCAAATTCCACCAGTTGTCAATGGGTTAAGCGGCAGATTCTCCAGACGCCGACTTCGCTGCCGCTTTTTGTCTTTGCGAATTTTTGCCTTTTGCCAGCCGCACTCTATCTCCCTCCCTTTCGAGCGCACAGAAACCAGAATTTCCTACCAAAAAACGCGGCCCAAAGTACGCGGCTTCTTGTTGTTGGTCAAACGGGCTTTTTTGGCCCTGTCTTCTGCGATTGGCCAACTGCCGGGGAGAGCCCTCAGCTGTTTTTTATTTGTTAATTTTGTTGGTTTTGGCTTGCTTTTTGTTTTTTTTTTTTGTTCTGTTTTTGTTCGTTACTCACTTTGCGCGTTTTTTGTTTTGTTCGCTCATTTTGGTTGACTTATGCCGGAAAATATTTGTTTACTGTTTGTCAGCGGCGAATCTGGCAGAGCAACAAGTGATTCATGGGCCTTTAATTAAGTCAGAGGGCAGGCGGTTTATATTTATCGGTTAAGAGATACTCATTAACTGCAATCCTGGGGAACTTCTCACTTCCGTCGAGCGTCCAAAAAAGATGTTTCAATTGCCATTTTTCCAACTCTAAGGCCTGTCCGCCCCCACAAAATCCTGTGCCATATCAGCGATGAACGTGCCGGGATTTTCTCCTCTCCTGACAGAAATTGAAATCCGCTCGTCGATTTTTGTCGTAAACATAAAGATAAAAAAAATGCTTATATTTATCTGAGTGAAATTAATTCCGGGCGCTCTACGGTGAAAGCTTTCTGCCAGAATAAATATCTCGTATTGGTTTTGGTTTCTTTCCATTGAACCACTTCCGCATAAAATTTAAATTCGGCCAAGATTTTGTTTTTCTCTTTTTCCCCGTGACTCCCCCGCAAAATAAAAAATTTCAATATCGGTGTCAGGTTCAGCGAGGCAAAGTTGGGCGGATTCCGATTCCGGCTGAGTATCTGAGTATCTTTGTATCGCAGTATCTGTATCTCGGGAAGATGCCTAGCACAGGTGTTGGCGCCATCAGGCGGGCAGCTTGAACTCGGCTCTTTTTTCTTTTTTCCTTTTCGTTTATTTTGCTTTTCTGGCAGTTTATGCGCGCACGTGATTTGCATTCGCAAATAGCCCAGACATCGAGTGTGCGTTTGTTTGATATACAAATGCTAAAATAATAAATTGCCTCGAATTATTGGCACTTTCGTTGTGCTGATAAAAAGAATGTGTCTTGGTAATAACAATAATAATGCGACAACGACATCAGCAACATCTTTCCCCCCGGCCGAACTGTCCAAAAAAAGGAAGCATATCGCATCGCATCTTGTTGAGGCCCCCGCAAAGCCATAAAAATATTATTATGATTTTCAATAATCACATGCATTAAATTATCATAATGCGAACATTTTCAATATTTCCACGCCTCGACAGCGTTGAAAGCTCGGTTTCGGTTTCGCCCTGTTTGCCGCCACTGATTTTCCAATTTGGACTGCTGAAAATTGAAAATCCTACCGCAGTAAAGGGCCCTCGAACAGATGAGCTGGGGCGTTATTTTTTATGAATATTAGTTAGCAGGATTTCAGGCTAATTTTTGCGGTGAAATATTCGGGACTTTCGCTTTTACTCGCACTGAGGTAAAGTGAATGAAACGGAATCTCGGTTTATTGTTTAATTTATGAAATGAATTTCTTTATATACAACATTTTAACGGGCATTTTTTGTTTAATACATTTAATTTATATGTAAAAGTGAGTAAAATGTATTAATTTTAAAATAAGTGAGACAAGTTACTTATACACTCATAAAAATAATTTTCTACATTTTAGAAAATCGCCCTAAAAAATTTTTCGCCTTTGAACTGAGAAAAATTTTCTATTTTTACGACAAATTTGCCATAAATTTAAGGCAGGTGACCATAAAAAAATATTTTTAGGGTTAATTTTTCTATTTTTCTAATATTTAGGGCGATTTTTTTCGATTTGCTTCGTTTTGACCTTTTCTAAATCCAACGGCGAATTGCCCTAATTTTTTTTCTAAAATTTTTCTAAATACAAGGGCGATTCGCCTTAAAAATCACTCCAAAAGTGTGAAATTCGGTAGCCCAGCGGTCTAATCACTTGCGCTTTCAACTTTGCTATGTGAGGACTAAGGTCGTGGGGTTGTGGGTTCGAACCCTGTGTGATTCAACTTGATTTTTATGTTTTTTTTTTTTTTTTTGTAAACATTATAATACTGAGGACATTTTTTCGTCCGAATTTTAAATTAAAGTAGTCTTTAAACCTTAAAAACGTATGGGAGTTCTGAGTTAAAAGCATACTTTGTGTTTGCGGGCAAGAAAACGGGACTAATTGTCACAGTCGTCAGGAAAAAAATATACGGTTTAGTTGCCTTTAGTCATATTATAACGTAGACCTCAAGAAAATAAGATGTGTGCAGAGTTTGTTCGTCGTCTTGCGCGAGGGGTCTGTGGTGCAGCGGTAGGACGTTAGACTCTAAACCGAGAGGTCGTGGGTTCGATTCTCGCAATGACCAAAAAAAGTAAGTTGTTTTTTCTCCTCATATTTATTTCCCTAATTCATTTACAAACATGATTTTTCAGTTCTAACGGCTGTGCTGTATAGATCGGGCCCCCCTCTTAACGCGGCTCCCATATAAGCTACACACCAATACAATAATATGCAACGGTGTCCTCCGCCGGTGTTGTTTAATTAAAGCAGTCCCAGCTCCCAGAATATAGACGATTAAAAAAAAAACATGCTTCCCAAATTCAGTTAAGCATGCTCAAACACGATTTTTTTTAATTTGTCTAATTTTTTAGGGCATTCGCCTATAAAAACAGAAAATTCGCCCTTAATTTTAGAAAAATACACCTTAAAATTAGGGCAAATTACCCTAAAAACAGGAAAATATTTCTTATTTCAAGAAAACTCACCCTAAATTAAACCAAATTTCCATCGGATTTTTTTAGAAAATTTTTCTAAATACACGGGCGAATCGCCAGCGGATACGATTTATGGGCGATTTTCTAAATCCACGGGCGAAAAGTCAGTTTTTTAGGGCGATTTAGGGTAAAAATTTCTATGAGTGTAATATGGTCTGTTGGTTTGTTTGACTTTTCGGCTAACAAAATAAAGTAGTCGATTTTCTTTGGTAGGTATATTTATTGATTTATAGTAATTGATTATATTAAACTGCTGGTTTCAATATTGATGGACTAAATGCTCTTTAATTGGGCCTTAGCTTTCTTTCTGATTCTCTGCCAACCTCGTTTTGCGTCATCAAAAAGCCAGCAATAAAATGTCGAAAATGCTGTAACCCAATTTGGGCCAGCCTATAAACATATCTTGTTTAAATGTCTGCACAGAACAGGGAATGAAATATAATAAAAAGTACAAATAAGCGACCGATTTCTAAGAAGAGAACACTTCTTAGTCCGCAAAAGGCCGTACAGCTGACAATGACGCATCAAAAGCGGCTTTCTTTCGGCATCTCTCCACCGCCAGTCATCTCCGAAATACAAATAAAGTTAAATCAAAATAACCACAAAGGCTGCCAACCTTCTAGATACAGTTAAGTAAATTTTAATGTTTTACTTCGCTGAAATCACTTGAGACTCACAGCCGCGCAAAAGCCCCCCGAAAAGTAAAGAAAAATTCTTATCGGGAACTAAGCACTTGAACATGCGAATTTCAGAAGGGCCCACACACATGGGAAAGGCCAGAAATCCGACCTGTCTCCAAATCAGTACTTTCACCGCTTGACGCCTTAAATGCATGCTGATGAGAACCGAGATGATGACGTTGTCGGCGGCTAATAGAAAGTTCTTTCCCCAATTAATTGCCAAAAAAATCCAACAAAAAAAACCAAAGCGAAATCTATATATGGTATTGTCTGGGCAAAAATAAAGGGGATACGGTCAAGGCAGGCCATTAAAAGTAAATCCAGTGCAAGAAGCTCGCCCAAACGAAGACAACATCTGAATTTTTATAAACTTGTCGCAGACGTGCTGCTCAGTTTCCCCGGCTCATTGGTGCTGTAATTGTTTATTGTATTCTTGTTTATTTTTTACTTTTTGTTTTTTTGTTTTTCTCCCCCTGTTGTTTCTTGTATTATATTGTATGTGGTATGTTGTTTTGCAGTACCCACACCCTGTCAAAAAAATTCTGTGCCAGTGACCGAGAAAAATTGGTTTTGCCGGCTGTTCAGCCATGCCGACGCCTGTGGCGATTTTCGGGGGAGCAAATCTATCCAGCAATTCGTACAATTGAGCGCGCGCTACCAGTTTGTTGATTGATTTAGCCAGAAATATTTCGCGCGTCGGTGGCTGAACTTGAGCGTTTTTTTGTTTTGTTTTTGGAAACGGTACAAACCGGTTGCTGCTGTAATTAAAACCCACCCAATGGCTTTATTTTGATGTTACTCTTTTTGGAATTTTTAGGGAATAAAGCGATCGCAGA